AATAATGCGAGTGCTTAAGCTGTAGTAACGTGTGATTACAACGTCAGGTAGCTGCCGTGATCAAGAATTGTAAACCGATCGATTAAAGGAAACCTATCATGCTATATTTAAATGATATATTGTAGGGCCATACCTATATAAGGTATATTTATACGTTTCTGTTTTCAAAATACCAAACAGATCTTGCATTTTAGCCATGCCTCATTTTGCTCTATGTGCTGTTTGCTGTCTACGGGTCTGATTCTGCTGACCACGCCCCCCTGCAGGAGAGGTGAGCCGTGCTCTGATCAGCTGCTGGGCTGTCAGAAGAGGGGGAGAAAAAGAGATCTCCGTCCTCCTGTTTTATTATATAGAGTCGTTATTCATTTGTTTTAAAGCTCAATAAATAACAAAGAAGACCTTTGACCGGCACTTTTCTAATTTAAACTTTAACGGACATCTTGACCGGCGAAACAAACTGAAACTGAAACTCTGCCGCACGGTCCCCTTGTTCCTTGGAAGAGGCGGAGAGGTGGGTGTTTGTCATCTGCTGGTGGACTAACCGGAGAGAATTACAGTGCTTGCCTCGACGGGGAGGGATTACATTGCATTAAAGCAGCAGGAGCAAACGCTTGCCTCGGGGAGGGAGAAAGAAAGCCACAGCGGAGAATAAACTGAAGGGTAACCATGGTAACCAAGTCTTCTTCGCTGCTTTTGTGGCAGACTACAGCGCCACTTACAGGCCTGGCATATGTACTACAGCGTCTCCAGCGCTTTCGAGCGGCAATGGCCGTGGCTGTCGTCTCCTGATTGGTGGAGTTGGCCCAATAGCCGTAGCACCACCGTCCTGACGTCAGGACAGTGTTCAAATCTGGATCAGTTTTTATCAGATCCGTTGCAGCCCCTTTTTTAGAGATTTGGGTATGGAGGAAAATAGAGAGGGTTGTGTTTTCTGACACTTGGTGAGTTCCCTGGAACACCGGGGACACATATTCATGTAGAAAAGACGTACAAAAGTGCATTTTGCATGATAGGTCCCCTTTAAGTTAAGATAATATAAGCTATCAGCAGCAGAACAGGCACACAGGATAGCCCGGAGGTGACGACAACAACCGGAAGTGACAACACGCTTACCGCAATAGTGAGGGTCCGTGTAGGAATGTAAAGCTCTGAGTGTGTTTCTGAGAAGTGCATCAGAAACACACTCTAATAATATTTTATGCCATTGTTTGTTTTTCACTTTGTTCTGACAGCTTGCTGCTCCACACAGAGAGAAGAGCAAAGAGGAGAGAGTCTGTGTGAATTACTTTAAATTGTGGGTAAGGGTAGATAGCTCCCATTGTTCTGTGACCTGTCAATCATCAAACCGGGGGTCATATTTCATTATGTGTTCATTTGTATCTGAAGTTGTACCCATGGATGTATAAAGGGTACATCCATGGGTAGAACGGACAAAGTGTCCGTTCTACCCATGGATGTACCCTTTAGACACAAAGTGTCCGTTCTACCTCAAAGTTATTCTCCGTGGGGACTTCCGGCAACAATCTTGATTCTGATTGGCCAGAAGACTCGAAAAAACATCAGCAAAGATGTTTTATTGAGAACATGATCACTACGTGACAGAAGTTTTCAAAACCGTTTATGGTCTCCGGTACTTCCAGTCCAACGCCTACTGCATGCACAGCGTTAGAAAATTGGGCCTTCAAAAAAAAAGAACTCGCACATCTGCGACCCACTCGAAACGGGTGGGTCGCGACCCACGAGTTGAGAACCACTGCTCTAGATGATAGGAAAGGAGGTTTCAAACTTCCTTTATAACCTCCTTTAGCTTAGGAACCACTGGACCTCCCTAACCTAAAGGAGAGGAGAAAATGCCTGCCCCACAATACCTTGCAGCCGCAGCATTTGCCCGTCACACAAACAGTCGGCCGTTCACGGAAACAACCGATTATGACCGAGAAAATTATATCATGAAAATTACGGTGCTTATTAAGCTTTTTAAAAAACGTATGTGGTAAGTTGCCAAGTGCTTTGTTTTGAACGTTCATCAGTATTATAATCAAAAAGAGAAATATGAACGTTAGTTTTTACTGAAATGATCAAATAAAGTCAACATTTCAGAGTCTTTACTGAGCTGTGTGGGGTTTGTTCAACTTTGAAAAGATGTTTGAATGGTGATATACACAGTGATAGATGTTAAGGACTAACGTTTATAATAAATACATTTGTCATTGATTTTAAGATCTTTTCATAGTTCATACAATCATACGTATTGGGATCATTTGTATTAATGTGGACCGGAGGGAGAGGGTGACGAGCATAAGTTTCACTTTCCTTTTTTATTTCAATTCCACTTCGTTCATGAGAATATGTTTCTCTGTTGTCCCCGTTCATAAAGCATAAAACAACAGCATCAGAGCACGGTGCAGAGTCTCTAGATGAGTTTACAGTAGTCCCTCGTTCTTATTAAACATCCATGTTGTAGTCCGCTGTATAGAAAACTGTAGTTTCCATAGTTTCCCCACAGCAGCAGGCGCACATTTATGACCTCCGCTGGCGCATCATAAACACGTTGGATAGTGAAAGTGCAGTCGATTCTCTAAAGTACCGCAGTCTCTTCTCTTAAGTCCTTTTGAATTCTCCTATCCACTATCCCTTAACCCGTGACGTTTCACTCAGAGGTCAAGGAATAGACGATAGGGTTAGAACTTAGGAGCTGATTTTTGGACTATTCGACCGCAACCCTGGTTTAATAGGTAACACTTAGGGTAAGGGTACATGAATCATCATGAATTCATGCATGACTTAATGCATGAAAAAGCATGAATTAATTAATGTAGTACTTTATGAACTATCAGTAATGTACAAGGATTAATAGTATCTCATGCATGATCTCATCTTTGTGATCCTCAAATAAGTCAGGCCCTTATGTCTATTTAGGCATCATGTATTGGCAATTTTACAAATGCAAATTAGATCATAATTTTGGACTTAATTTCAATTATCAATTATTTGGTTAGGACTTTTTTTTATGTATCATACAGTATTATCTTAGAGCTCACAAACCATTTAAGATAACTCATTCATAATATGAACAAACTTTAATTTATAATCCAAAGCCAACAAGATCACATTTTCACATATGTTACATAAGAAAGCAATAACATTTTTCGGCAAAGACACATCTTGGCAATAGTAAGTTAATAGTAAATCATACCATGTTTGTATTGTTTAATTATTTGTGATTTTAACTTGACCACAACAGATAAAATGCACTGAAATTACTTGCGTATAGATCATCAGGGATTTATCTTTCAGAAAAAAACACCTGACTCATATGTAATGATAATAGATGTGAGGCACGAACAGGGGCTATCTTGAAACGTCCATCTTCTTCATATCTGAAGTCAGTGAGCTCTTGGTGGTTCAATCAGGGAAACATGACCCCGAATGTCCTTCAGTCAACGACGAGAGGTCCTTTCTTATGCCTGTTTCCTAGCCAGTTAAGTCCATTCTATAACTGCAAGATGTTCTTTCAAAGGTTTCTCAGTTCGGTTTCTCCAAAGCCGCCAAATTATTGATTTGTAGTTAATCATGATTACAACACTTTGAATTCAACAGAATACATGCACTGCTGTGACCGACAGACCGGGTCACCACTTTATTTGAAGGGGCACAAACATGATGAAGTAATGACGAAATAATGCTTAGTTAATGATTACAACACTTGGAATTGCTGTGACTGGTCAGTTTTTTGGCCTGTCACTTTAACTGCAGATCTAGTACTACATTAATTAATTCATGCTTTTTCATGCATGAATTCATGATGATTCATGTACCCTTACCATAAAGTGTTACCGTTTAATACACACAGTTAAGCTCACACACACTATTGAATGATGAAAACCAAAAAGGAAAACCAGTCTGCGTTTAGATAAAAATAATCCCCAATTTGTTTTAATGTTTCATTCATCTGATTACGCCTTTTTGTATGTAACTGTAAGGGAATACAGTTATCTTTTGTTTTATTCTGATTACGTAATGCCGTTACATGTATTCCATTACTCCCGAGCCTGTCCACAGAAGTGATAGTTGGTCTTGAGTAAAAGTACCAGAGTGTAGGAATACTATGTTACAAGTCAAAGTCATGTGTTCATGTTACTCAAGTAAAATTACGAAAGTATTAGCAGTATTATCAGAATAATATATATGATATGTTTTATAATAATTGATCATGAAAGTGTTCTCAAAGCTGGTAAAGGTGCAGCTAGTTTGAATGACTTTGTATACTGCAGGGTAGCTTGTGAATTTACTCCAGGTGGAACTAAAGTCTGATTTAACACTTGATTATATTTCACATCATTCATCCAGATCTGTAAAGTAACTAAAGGTATTAAATACATGTAGTGGAGTAAAAGTACACCATTTACCTCTGAATTGTAGGGGAGTAAAAGTACACCATTACCTCTGAACTGTAGTGGAGTAGAAGTACAAAGTAGCATAAAATGGAAAAAGTATCTTAAATGTACTTAAAGGTGGGGTAGGTAAGTTTGATGAAAACCGGCTTCGAGATACACTTTTTGTTATATTCCATGGAATGCTCTTAACATCCCGATCGCAATGAATATCTGAAGTGCTTTGACAAAAAATCCATAAAAATATGTCATCTGTGGAAGCCGTAGTACTGTAAAAAGTACGACCAATCATTTTAGCCGGCCCGGCTAAAATAACTGGATGGCCTACCTGCCTGTCAGCCTTCCATCTGTGCACAAACTTATCTCGTGCCCTCATTGGTCATGTGCGCGTTCGTGTGTGTTGGAGGAGGGGCTCTGTAAGGAAGTAGCAGATTTCTTCCGGCTGTGTATTTTCAAATTCTAGCGATCTCGAGCTGGTTTCTCCAAAATTACCTACCCCACCTTTAAGTACAGTTCTTGAGTAAATGTACTTACTTCCCACCTCTGCCTGTCCATAAGTTAAAGCTGTATATTGTGTGGTATTTATCATTTGTTTTCTGTCTCCAGCTCAGGAGGGTCAGACATGTGACCTGGGGGGGGTGGTGTACCGCAGCGGGGAGTCCTTCGAGCCCAGCTGTAAACATCGCTGTGTGTGTATGAACGGAGAGATCGGCTGTGTGCCGCTGTGTGCCAGTGACTTCCTGCTGCCCTCCCCTGACTGCCCGTACCCACAGCGCATACACATCCCCGGGAGGTGCTGTGAGGAGTGGGTGTGTGCGCAGACGCCGCCGGACCAACACTACCAGTCAGTGCTGGCCGGTCAGTCTCATCTTTGTAACATCAACTGCTCCTAGTTTTTATTTCTGTGGTATATCCGAGTTTCCTCTAGAACACTGGTTCCCAACCTGGGGGGCGTGCACATATAATTGTAACATGATTGTCGCTAAAAGCCTTGTCTCTACATTACAATACAATATAAAAAATAATTGATTAATTAATTTTAATAAAAATTCAAGTTAGTAGCTAATAAAGGTATAAAAAGACAGAAATGTATAATCTTTTCTTTAATAGAAATGTTTCTTCTGCCCGTAAAGTGTCCAAACCAGGCTTTTCTGGATAAGCGCATTTTTAAAACATAGTCATTGTCCATGCCGGTTTCAGTTGGATTATTTGTCACAGTTGCTCCGATCAGATCGGTCTCCTCCATTTTGTAGATTATTTATGACTTTTGAATCCACATAAACACATCGGCAAAATCCGGTTTACTTTGAACATGTGTTTTAAACAGTTTTATCCCTTTGTGAATTGTTTCCACTTGCGCCGTCCTTTAATTTTTTCATACAGTGGGCATCCAAATGAATTAATCCTGAGTCCAATAACCATCAAAGTCACTCCAATAGTGCTCCTTGATTACGCTGTCATCCTCCTTTAACAACATACTTCACATTCATCCAGTTTGTGACAGCAGTTGTAGCATTTTTGAGACTTTGAAACTTTAATTACCGCTGTTGCGCCCCCAACAACAGGGGGGGGGGCGCAACTTCCAACAGAAGTCATTTGGGGGGCTCTTGGGAAAAAAGGTTGGGAGCCCCTGCTCTAGAAGATAAATCAGGTGCAAGTCATTCACAGTTTTCCTCTGGGCACAATGGAGATCAGTCTGGGGCAAAATGGGTGGAACAATATACCAAAAACAGTACTAATATATATAAATCATGTTAGACACAGAAAGTATATATTATATATAGTATATATATATATATATATATATATATATATATATATAAAAGGGCGTGACAGTACAGATGAAGCGTCTTATTTTGGACAGTTTTGAAGTGCGAGGGTCGTGATCGGTTCGTGCCAGTTCCGTGATGGCCGGCCGGCCCCCAGTCTGACCTTGATACCGCCCCCATGATAAAATACATTTAATTATTGTGAAGCCAGCTGCCAATGGATCATTGATCCACAGGGGGTGCAGTGGGGTTCCACACTGGAGTCATGTGAAATCAACTTCTTTGTTGTTAAGATCCATACAGTGTATGTCACGGATAGGATCATAGTCTGTGCTAAATAAGACATGTAATCATTTAAATAATGTTGTTTTAGTCGGAAAAAACGAACGAGCCGGCTCTCCCGATTTTTAATCCTAATTTAATCGTCATTCATTGATGTTTATGTTCGCCGAATTGACATGAAATCACTGACAAATATGAATATTCTGTATTCAACTTCATTGAAACGATCAGGATGGGGTGTTATTTTTCCCCACAATGACCAAGTCGCTGCAAATGATCCCATGTATTACATGTGCATGGCCACATTCTCAACAAAGTTACGTAACGAAACATTCTGTATTCCTTGCTTACTTTTTATTTAATGCTTTATAACAGCTGGAATAGTTCGTTTAGAACAGGCACCTCACTCGCAATCTTGCTCCTCCGCAACGCCTACCACCTTACCTCCGGCTGAAATTATGAATGTATAGTAATCATAGATAACACGGCAGGGTCCGTTACAGTTTGTTTTCATCTGATTTCAAATATTTCAAATGTCTGAAGTTAATAAATACATTCTCAGTGTTCAAGTCAATAATAGTCATATAAGAAAAGTACTGATCTAATAACAGAGATTTTATAAGGACTTTTCAATGTTCGACATCGCTCATGTGAAATACAGTAAACTGGATGTTGTGGTGCCGAGAGGCGGGGTATCAAAAGTACAAGCTAAACTTTTATTTAGCATCTGAACACACTTGTAAACAACGTGATGCCCGGGAAGCGAAGACCCGGCGGAAACAGCTGGTCTGTTCACTAAAATGGTCCCGTGTACAGTATATCTGGTTACTAATGTATAGCGGATCTTTGTTAAGATCCATATGTCACGGATAGGGATCATAGTCTGTGCTAAATAAGACATGTATAATTTACAAAACATCACCATGTTGTTATGCGCATGTGCGAGATGTCACGTTGTAATAACAATAACTCATCTCTCTCGGTTTTTTTTTGTTTTCTTTGTGTGCTTTGCCAAAGCCACTGTGTCAAGTGTCCTAGTTGGGTTGCCGTAACGAACAGCAGCCGGCTCTCGATTTTTAATCCTAATTTAATCGTTTATGTTCGCCGAATTGACATGAAATCACTGACAAATATGAATATACTGTATTCAACTTCATTAAAATGTTATTAACGTGCCTAAACTCAGTAATTCTCAGTAATTCACTAAAAATTACTTAAATTGATGGGGAAAAATAACACCCAGGGATCAAGATCCCTCCGCGACGCGACGCGGAGGGATCTTGATCCCTGGGTGTTATTTTTCCCCATAATGACCAAGTCGCTGCAAATTATCCCGCTTATTACATGGCCACAAAGTAACGACATGACTCCCAATATTAATTAAAATGCTTTTATGGATTTAGAAAATATTTTTATTGATTTAAAAAATAGTTGTATGTATTGATTTAAATTGACATGCATCCGCTAAGAAAAATAGTCCGTTGTTACCGTTTTTTAAACAGTCAGAATGAAACGGCAGCTCTCAGCTGTGTGTTCACACTCCTAATGGCCCATCACAGCTCTCTCCCCCCCTAATCTTTCTTTTCCAACAGTTAAGTTAACTGTAGGTTACTCTGAGTGACAAGCTTACAGTTAGTGAAGTAACACTTTTTTTTTGTGAGTCACGACCTCGCTGTTTCATTCTAACATAACGCTCCAAATATGACTGTTTCCACTCGGACTTCAATACAGCAACACCATTGTTTGGTTTCCATGGTAGCGTGTCTCTTTAGTAGCGTGCACTCCTTTCCTGTAAATTACAGGTCCAGCCAGGCAAAACAGTAATATGAAATATGAACGTTCGTTTTTAACTGAAATGATCAAATAAAGTTAAAATGTCACAGTGTTTACAAACATTGACCATACCGTTCACCAGCCCCCACCCCACTATGTTGAGTATAGCCTACTCTTTGTTTAAAACGAATTGGCCATCGGAATGTGTGTGTCCCAACCCCCCCCTGTGATATCTCTTCTCCAGCAGTCTGTAGTTTGTCCGTAAACTTTAGAATGAAATGTAATACCGGTTAGTTTTTTGTGTTCATACTGACAGAAGAAGAAATAAATTAAGTATGAATGAGAATAAGACTTATGTAATGTATTGACATTTGATCAGTAGCCTATAAATGTATTACTAACTTTATCCACTGTGGTACCGAAGCTTGGATCACCGCCAAAGACATGGCCGAGGGCAGCTGGCAGCTTTCAATATTTTTCATGTGCGATTCTAACGCTTTCAGAAAGTGAAACATACAGCATCATTTGAGAAAAAATAAATCAAAATAAGCGTTATAAATGAACCCTGACTACTTGTGTTTAGGACTCACTGTATTTTGCTACTCTCTAGGTCTGTGGGCCAAATCCAGATATGGGGGGGGGGGGTTCTGTTAGAAGGTGTGAGGGGAGGGGGGGGGGGAGAGAGTTAGACGCTCGTGAATTGTCAACAGGGGGGGGGCCTCTCTGCACGGAGGAGCCGCGGAGAGAGTGAATCACAGTTGATCTCATAAACATCATGACCAATGTGCGAGGGTGATGACATCAGAGCATCGTCCTATGGGCTTAGCCCCGGACAGGTACAACAGGTATTCACTCAGAGGGGGGGTAGTTACCCATTTACATGTCAAAAAGCAACAAACAGTGGGCGGGTGGGGGAAGTATACTGAGAAGTATATAATGAGAACTGCTACCAATGGTGGCCTATTAGTTACTTACGAAATACTTATTTGTAGCTTTTTTTTATCTGCAGTAGGAAATGCAGAGAGTAGCGACCAGGGCTGGTCCAACCCTGATCTGTAAAGTGATCTAACTAAGTGCTATTCATTTTCTTGACGGGGAAGTGCAGTGTAATGGGGGGCTTATATGCATTTGAAAGCAATTAAATCACACAGTCGTATACAATAGGCATTAAAAGCACCGTCGATAACCATTGCCCTTCTCCTATTCAAACCAAAAGAGAAAATGCAGATATTACACTCTGAAAAGAAAGGGAGACATATCTGTACTCTTAGTGCCAAGTAGCTAAATAATTCTCCAAATCAAACCAAATCAAACCAAGATATCTGGGTATTCACTCAGAGGGGGGTCGGTGAACCGGGCAGAGTTTTTCGCCGGTCAACGTGTGTGAAAGTTTAAAGTTTATCATCTAAATTTGCCGAAACAAGTTTTAATATTCTGAAAGCCAAGACTTTGTTTATTTGAAATCAGATGAAAAACAAACTGTAACGGACCCATTTTATTCATATTCCGAGTCATAAAGACTTTATTTAAAATAAACATTTATAACTAGTTTAGGTTGTTTGAGAGGTACAGCTACCATTCTTTAATTAGATGTTTGATAAGTGCATGCAGATCACATAAAACACGTACACAGATACATTATTTTGTATTTTTATTAAATTTGACAATCTCAATTTCACTTTCCACTATGTCCACCGTTTGTTTTTTCACAACCAATGGCAGAACTTTATTTGAGGCCTGTAATTAGTCAACTACAGGTCTCTTGAAGTCTTTTTCTTCCAAAAAGCTTGTGGACAAGATGTTATTGCTCTTGGGGCATTAAAAACAAGATTTTAACTTTAGTTTTTTTATATAATATCTGCATTGTCTCTTGTGAAAAAACTAAGTCTTACTTTGGCCATAGTTATTTTAATATATAGCGCCATCTCCTGGTTAAACCCTGAAATTGGAGAATAGTGGGAGGGCCTAACATTCCTGAATACTGGTCTTTGGCAGGTCTTAGGCAGGCAACTGGCTGGCAGTCGGCAGGAAGCTGTATGCTGGGGTCCAAAATAAGAGGCTCCATCTGTATGTTGCCCAGCAATTATTATTTCAGCTTTTTGCTTTATTTCTGATTCAGCTGCTAAACCCCCAAACCAGCGTAACTAGATGTAGGATCAGGTTCATACTTTTTAGGATATTTTGTGATTCTTATAATTACAAGTGTGTGCCAATTGAAACCAACATCCTTACAAATATTTAAAAAAATATTTTTGTAGAAATATTGTAAAGGTTATAGTACTACAACAAATCATAGTACAGTATGTCAACAAAGTCACACTATAATATTTCTTACAAATGTCCTAATAGTATGTCAGGAAAAATGTATTGTATGTCATAGAAAACAATCATACAACATGTTATAGAATTGCACTTGCCAATTATACCAGAGATTTTTGTTATTGATATTAGTGATGCCTTTCAAAATTCAGCGTTTTATTCTTGTATGCAATGTGGGATCAACTCTAGACCACGGGTTGTTTTTCTTTAAGTCAGTAACATTCACTACCCCCCACCCCCCAGTAGATGTTACCTATGTAGGCTTTTTGTACTTTATCATCAATTTAAGTGATTTGGGGATCTTGACCCAGACAACATGGTTATTAACCAGAATGTCATTAAATAGGTATAGTCCCATTTTAAACCTCAAACCACATCTAAAGACAGATCAACAGCATAAATCAATGTATATATTTACGTGTTAAAGCTACTTCCGTTCATGACTTTCTGGACCCACAACTGTTGCATATGTTGTTCATCTTTTTCTCAATTTTTGGGATACATTCAACCCTGAAAATACACCCATGCCTCCTCATGAGCAGTCGTCTTTTTGAAAAAACAATAATATCAATCACCAATTGACTTTTTTAATCATTCCCCCCCACTTCTCCTTTATCACCCTTCTTCTTTAGGAGCCTCTCAGATTCTCCCCTTACCCTCTTCAGATCCACTCTTCAGGCAGGTGTTTCCCAATGGACCGCAGGCAGAGAGTCCAAGAGATAACTGCATAGTCCAGACTACAGAGTGGAGTGAGTGCTCGGCCACCTGCGACATGGGCGTCTCATCCCGCATAACCAACGACAACCAGCGGTGCCAGCTGGAGAGGCAGAGCAGGATGTGCATGGTCCGGCCCTGCAACACCCAGCAGGGAAAAGAAATCAAGGTGTGTGTTTACTTTCAATTAACAGTGGGGTTTGAGGATAAAAACATACTCCAATAATAACTTCCCAGATGAATAACCCTTATTAAGTTGATCTGACATTACACAACTGACCCAACCTAGTCTCCACAGGCAGATGGCCAAGTGCCCTAAAAGATGGCACCATGAGCTTTTAGATTTGGGTTAGTAATCTTTCACTATGCAGTTCTGTCAGGCTCCATTTATGGCTCAAAGGTTAGCTGTGCCTATATTTATGAAGGTATTATAACAGGGAGGCTCCGTATTCTGAACCAATTTCAGGTTGTTCATGGCTGAGTTCCAATCTATTTGCCCTGTCACAGCAGGACTCACAAACCAAACTATCACCTCCAGAAAGCATTTGGCAGTCGGCTGCTGACTGTAGATTAAACGGACCGTTCTGATAATGTACGTTGAGTTATCCGAGTTAGAAAAGTGGACAAAGTCTGAAATCTAGGTTTTTAGTAGTAAATATCAGGATCTCAGTTTTGTAAAGAAATACAGTATAAATATATATATGTAATGTCTTTAAAACAATTCAAGAAGGTGCTTATTTTTTTCCACTATTAACAGGGATGCAGCTAATTGACATGTCTAGGTATAAGATATCCCAATACCAGCATATACTGTTCATAGAAATCCAAAAGACCAAGAACTGAACCTTGAGGTACTCCGCGGCACAAAAATGTAAAATGTTGGATTAGGAGTTGCCAATACCTGATAAGAAGCGCCTATCTTGTAATTTCTGTTTCATTACTACTTACCGAAGTATTTTCTGAGAATGTCATGGTCAATCATAGCAAATGTTCCACAAACGTACGGAATACAACAGTGTTCTCCTTAGCAGTAGAAGTCAGAAATTAACCATCTCTGAAATTTCCAAATTGAAAAGATTTGAGTTTTCAACTAAGCCATCTAATAATATACTTTAAATCACAACAGTCACAACTAACATAGAGAGGTGCAGTGACGCGTCCTAAAACCCGGAAGTAAGCTGCGCATGGGTTCCCTCGACAAAAAAGCAATGGGATTTCGCCCTATGGGTTTTGGAAAATAGCTCGAAATAAGGTCTGTGGAAAACGAACCTCTAATCGATAGATTTATGATTAGAAAATGATAAAAGTAGGGTAGACATGTGGATATTATCCGGCTGAACAAAACGTGCATTTATCAAACAGGTACGTTTTCCACAGATCTTATTTCGAGCTATTTTCTAAAATCCTATGGAGAAATCTCATTGCTTTTTTGGCGAGGGAACTCATGCGCAGCTTACTTCCGGGTTTTAGGACGCGTCACTGCACCACTCTATTAAGAAGTACTTTTACTCTGTGATGATGCTAATGCATGACATCGAGATCTGATTATGTGTCCGTCCCACAGAAGGGGAAGAAATGCATCCGGACACCAAAGGCCCAGCATGGGTTTCGCTTCAAGCTGTCGGGCTGCTCCAGCACCAGGGTGTACAAACAAAAGTTCTGTGGTGTCTGCACAGACAATCGCTGCTGCACGCCACACACCACCATCACAGCCGAGGTGGAGTTCGAGTGTACAGAGGGAGAAACGTTCACCAAAAAGATGATGTTTATTAAGACCTGCTCCTGCCATCATGAATGTCCGCAAGATAACGACATCTTCCTGGCGTCCAACATTCGGAGGATGATTGGCGACTATGATAACGATATGTGATTACGCACACACTCATTCAGACATATAGGTCAGAACTGCACCATTATAACACCCAACTGGACCTTACAACTATACCTATGCCAAACCTTCTGTGTAATCCAGCCTTAAGGTAATGGGTCAGTAAAAAAGATAACATTTTCTTCTTTCACCTTTGTTTAGTTGAAGTGCAGCTCTTAGGTCGCAAGACTTTATGAACTGCCTTACATTAAAGGTACGTAATTTCAGAGGACAGATGCACTGACAAAAAAATGTAAGGACAGATTTCAGATGCTACAAATTTGCTTTTTCTCTGCATCAATACATATAGTAATCATCATAGAGCAGTGGATGGTGATGTATCAAGCGTTTGCGTTGGTACTCCAGAATCAAAGAAAAGCTCAGGACAAATATAAATGTTTGCTACAAAATCCTCTAGTCTCAAAGCTCCACCTTCTAGTTTCACATGAAACATTGTTGTATTTTGGCAAAATCCTTCCACATCTGTTCAAAAATGCAATTTGCAAGGGGTTGTGGACAGTTGGACAAACATGATCTGATGCGAGAGAACATCTTTGAACAGAGACTGGGGTTTACTATTTCCGAACATCACAACCAGCTGTTATCATGTGACCTCAGTTTCACACCTAGATCGCTGAGCTCGTTAGGTAAATTGACCTTTTAGCTGACATTATTCTGCCGTTTCAATATATCAAAATGAATTGACATTCCTAAAGATAAATGTGATTTTGTTACTAAGAACAGACCAGGATAATGCAGCCGTGTTGTTTGGCATTCTACTGCATAGTATAATGTGCAGACATGTCTGCAGGAATAGATATTTAAATATGAAACGAGAGCCAAGAGCTTGATTTTCTTGATTGTGTCTGTAAACTTGAGATAATGCCTTTAAAAGTATTTTAAAAGTTGTTCACCATTTTAACAGATTTTAAATGCCTGGACAGTTTTGACAACACAGTATGACCATTGTTTGTTATCTCGAGATAATTACGTCCGATAAAAGAAGGGTTACTGTGGTCTTAAAAGATGAATATATAGACTCCAACAGCACTATCTGAGATAACAAGATTTTACATTGACTGTTGCACTCAAGGTGCAGCTGCAGGAATGTAGCTACACACCTGTGCGACATGTTCACCTGAAATATATATATACTGAAAGTATGACAATACACACATTGTTGGGATGTGTTTAAGGTCCAATTGAAATCAAATGTAATCCATATACTTTAAAGAGGCCCTATTGTGCTTTTTGGGGTATTCCCTCTCCTGTAGTGTGTTATATATGTTTTTTGTGCATGTAAATGATGTGTAAAAGTGTTCCCTCCATAGGGAGTTTCTTTCCCACACACTCCCCCCCCCCCCCCCCCTTGTCTTGTTTTGGTTTCAGATTTGTTTTAGGTAGAGAACACAGGACTAATGATTTGCAGACAAGTTACTGTATGTATTCTGTAACACACAAGAAATAAGCCATTTGATTTCAGTTGGACTTTGATATGATATCCTGCACTGACTGCTGAACAATCTAGTTCAGTGTTGAAATCACATTTGACATTATTTACAATTACATTATTTACATTATTTAAAACATTACACTTCTTTCTGACAGCATGGTAAAGATAAATAGCATGACTATAGAATTTCTGTTACTAAAATGTTCTGTATATTTATAAAGTGGATGGACAAAGACTGTGTACAGTTTTGTACTATAATTTATGCAACTTGTTTATCACAGTGTTATAATTCTGTAACTGTGTCATATTTTTGTGTTCTTTTCACTGAAACCCCTAAAATAACATACAAGTGAGTTTTTTTCTGTTGCACTTTTGGATCTGTTCCAATAATAAAGTATATTTTTATACATCCTTGTCTTGTTTGTGTAGCTAAAAATAGTAAGCGTGAATTTGCTTGTGCTAGTTGTTGCCTTTTATGCTGCTCTAAAAACAGCAGATGTGAATTTGAGATGAAACAGCGCAGCAGCTGTCTCATGTGTTCTTTAAAAACAACTGTGAGCTGCAGACAGTGACACACAGAGTTCAGACACAAGCAACTTTAAAGATCATTTTACAAGATAAAAGTGGTTGAAAGGCTAGATTACACTGCCCCAAATCCCTTTCACTCTAGGTTCATTGTTCAATATTTATTTGATAAATTGCACCATTTAAGTGCTATATCCATTTAGGCAGGCCTTGTATTTTAATCATAATTTACCTGTGCCAAAATTGAGTTGCTGTATAGCTGTAAAAGTTTGATGCTGGTTGCTGAAAACGTACCAGCAAATCTCTCCCCAAACTACACAGAGAATTTTGCAGCCCTGCACAATTTTCTTTTTACACTCAAAACTTAAACTCAATACAATGTTTAGTGTATTGAGAACAAATTAATTAAGATGAATTTAAATGTTGCATAAGGTGCAATGTTATAATAGTATAGTTAAGTAGTACATCAGTAGTAATATATAAATATACTGTGAGACAATTACGAGGGACAGTGGTGTGGAAGAAGTGTGTTAGGAATCTTGACTCAATAGTATGAGGACTCAAATGCACAACCCAGAGACAAAAAAGGTTTGAAGAAAATAATCTTTACTTTGCAAAAACAAAATCACTCTTCCAGAGGATATAACAAACTGTCAAAAGTAAAGCGCTCACAATGGAGGATAAAAGGCAAAACACTGAGTCCTTTAAATGATGGCTTGGATCTGGCTTCATGGAACGAACGAACAATACGAACCGACAACTAACAAGGGGAGACAGGACAATATATACATGAGGTGAGTACAAAATATAACAGGAAGTGGAACATAAACTAAACTAACACAAACATGACAAAACTTAAAGTGGACCTATCATGCTATATTTAAATGATATATTGTAGGGCCATACCTATATAAGTTATATTTATACGTTTCTGTTTTCAAAATACCAAACAGATCATGCATTTTAGCCATGCCTCATTTCGCTCTATGTGCTGTTTGCTGTCTACGGGTCTGATTCTGCTGACCACGCCCCCCTGCAGGAGAGGGGAGACGTGCTCTGATCAGCTGCTGGGCTGTCAGAAGAGGGGGAGAAAAAGAGATCTCCGTGTTTTATTATATAGAGTCGTTATTCATTTGTTTTAAAGCTCAATAAATAACAAAGAAGACCTTTGACCGGCACTTTTCTAATTTTGTCCGGAAGATTTAAACTTTAACGGACATCTTGACCGGCGAAACAAACTGAAACTGAAACTCTGCCGCACGGTCCCCTCGTTCCTTGGAAGAGGCGGAGAGGTGGGTGTTTCTCATCTGCTGGTGGACTAACCGGAGAGAATTACAGTGCTTGCCTCGACGGGGAGGGATTGCATTGAATTAAATCAGCAGGAGCAAACGCTTGCCTCGGGGAGGTTGAAAAAAAGCCACAGCGGAGAATAAACAGAAGGGTAACCATGGTAACTATGGGCGGGAAGTCTTCTTCGCTGCTTTTGTGGCAGACTACAGCGCCACTTACAGGCCTGGCATATGTACTACAGCGTCTCCAGCGCTTTCGAACGGCAATGGCCGTGGCTGTCTCCTCCTGATTGGTTGAGTTGGCCCAATAGCCGTAGCGCCACCGTCCTGACGTCAGGACAGTGTTCAAATCTGGATCAGTTTTTATCAGATCCGTTGCAGCCCCTTTTTTAGAGATTTGGGTATTGTTGGAGCAGAACACCTATTGTGGTGGCTGATAGAAATCTCTATTAAATAAAGAAAGGAATTGAAAACACCGGAATCAAAAGTTATAACAATTATCTGAGTTTACTGGTAGGAAACCAAACACATATACAAGTTATACAGAGTACTCCGGACTTCAGGTTTGTGATGCGATGCGGATAAAGGTGTCGGGACCCGCCAACTCATCAAACAAAAAGAAATTGACTTCAGGTTTGTGATGCGATGCGGACACAGATATCGGGACCAGCCACTCACCAAACCAAAAAGCATTTTTACATAAAAAAACAACAGTATTCATATCCTTATTTTGGGGCGGAGATGTGTTGACTTTTCCCTTCCCCTTTTACTCCAAAGCGAATGAGAGAGTCCGTGAGGAGGAGCTGTGTGAGCTGCTCACATCCCCCAGGTGTCCTTACTGGCTGGATTCACTTCTGGTCGGGTTCAATAGTTCTCACCAGAACATGAGATTCCAAAGTTTCACAAGGTCAAAAGTCAATTCTTATCTCTGCCCCGATCTCCACTCCGTTACCTTCCCATGGGAGTTTTTCACATAAACTATTCCTTCTCAGACATTTAAACCTTTGTGCACATATTTAATGATGTCTTTAACGACCTTAAAAACAACATCTGTGTGTAGGGGTGAAAAGGAGAGGTGTAATGATGTCTTTAACGACCTTAAAAACAACATCTGTGTATAGGGGTGAAAAGGAGAGGTGTGTGTGTGAAACAGGATCTCTGGGTCAGTGAGTTAAAAGTGAGAATATCATTTCTATATATGTGATTACCCAAAACCGTTGTGATTACCTAAAACAGTTCAAACAATACATGTTCACTAAAATACAATTCAAAATAATACATGTTTACTTCAATACAGTGTAGAATCATATCTTTTTACTTCAATCCCTCTTTTGATCTCACCTCACGAGATCAACATATAGCATTTGAAACATTACCACTGTCATTCTCTTCTACTGTGTCCCAACATTTATATAAATCCATCAGAAGCTGGGATTTAGAGCACTTTAAACCTTTAGGAACAGTCCACAACAACAACTTCTTATGACAGTGGAGGGAGAATAAAATATGTCTAAAAAAAGTTTGTCCTTGTCGGCTGAGTCATCATACTCTTCCCCCTCCGACGCATAGGCCAACAAGGGCATTCGGTACGAAGGGGAAAGGGCACTTTTCCCTCAATGGTGGAACTGATGAGTCTAACACACAATGAGCGGATACAAGGCACACAACAACAACCACATGTCACTAAAATGGCAATAAAAGTAGCCACAGAAATTAGAAAAGACATTATTAAACTTTTCCCTCTTTTGGTAACACATAGTTCTGTAGAATAAAAAAATACAAATCCCTTAAATTATGGGATATAAAAATAAAGTTGAAAGTTCCTCCAAAAAATGGATTGTTCAGACAAAGTTCCACACCGGCTATATCAACCTGTTTCAGCGGGAAATGGAGTTCCCTGTGCCGTCTTGGTTTGCCGTGTCTTCGTCCCCCCAGCCCGCTGACGGCGGCTTCTGGGCTGCCTGCTAGAGAGATGTGTCCGGATTGTCCTCCCCCGGCCCGCTGATGGCGGCCTCCGGGTCGATGCTGGAGAGATGTCCCGATCCTCCTCCTCCGGCCCGCTGATGGCGGCTTCCGGGTCGACTGCTGGAGAGATGTCCTCCCGATCCTCCTCCTCTGGTCCGCTGATGGCGCCTCCTGGGTCGACTGCCTTGACGAGAGCCAGATCTGTCCTGATGTCGTCTAGGGTCCTCGCAGCTGTTTTTCCCGACTGCACACTGGCTCCAGTGGTACCAGTTGTCTCCCTTTCCATCTAGGCGGACGGCATGGGAGGTCCCCTTCAACCAGACGTAATCTGCTGTGTTGGCCTTGTGTTTCTCGGGTCCCCCTTTGGCGTCAGCAACCTGTGTGGAGAAGTCTCATACCAAGCCCTTAAGTTGCTGGAAATATGGTTTTGAACTCATCTCTTCTACTTCTTTAGTGTTTATTGGCGGCACCAACTAGACTGGAGTGTGGACAAGAGACTATGCAGAAAATAATAAACAAAAAATAAAATAAAAAATAAAAAATAAAAAAATAGAACAAAAATAAAACAAAAAAGGAACAAACAAACAAAACAAAAATAACCAAAGCTAGATTATTTTAAATGTATCAATTTCTCTTAAAAGCAACAAACAAAACAAAAAATAGCCAAAGCTAGTATTTTAAATTGATAAATTTATCTTAAAAACGTAATAATCTCACATACATATTGTCTGATGTATATCCTATCCCCCCTTTTTCTGAAATAGAATGCCGTTAACGGTGTTCTTATTTTCAGAAATATCGAGCCTTATACATCAGTTATTTAATATCAGCTATATATTATATATTATTATTACTTATATATCAGGCATTAAATGTCAGCCTTCTTCCATGATTGACCTCGTTTATATTATCTGACTTATGTTGATACGTGTTCGTTTGTATTTATTTAATATACTGGGCAATTATTGTTTATAATTCTAAATGTTCAATATGTAATATTTCAGAATGTTGTAGCACTCCCTGTTCGCCACCAGAGGGCAGCAGCTGACCATGAATGAAGTTGTCCCCACTCACTGGTACTCAGCAACTTTGTCTCCACTGGTGTCAATTATGCTTTTATTTCAATTATTACACAGATTTGACTTAAAAAATTGCAGTTTTACATATATTTATACGTACAGTCAGGCAAATTTTTATTGTGCGATGTATATTTCAACAGATAGCGTGACTTCCTGAAGCAAGCTTCTACAACCTCCTCACGGTGATTGCGGCTTCAGGCAAGGAGTTGAAACTCAGTCAACAAAATCTCTTTATCGTCACGTTTAATGAGCCTGATTAACCCCACAGCAAGAGTTGTGATGAGATTCGGTCGTTCCAAATAATTAGTTGGAGGTCGCGTCTCTCTCCTCTTGTTTCACCCACCATATAACAATTACAGAAATGTTATACATTTAAAGCACCGCGAAAAATAACCGCATTAATCAATCTTATCATGATCTGCGGGGAATTTAACCCTTCTGTTTTTTACACCTTCGTAGTCTTTAATTAAAGCACTGCAAAGCAACCGTATTAATCAATGTTATTTTGACTTACGGGGAATTTAACCTATACATCTTTTACAGCCTTGCAG